GCTCCAAAGATGTTGGAACTGCCACTGCCCGAGCTTGGTGCTGCTCCAAAGATGTTGGAACTGCCGCTGCCCGAGCCTGGTGCTGCTCCGAAAATGTTTGAGCTGCCGGATTCCGCACTTGGTGCTGCTCCAAAGATGTTCGAGCTGCTGCTCCCCGAGCTTGGTGCTGCTCCGAAGATATTTGAGCTGCCACTGCTGGAGGTTGCTGCTGCTCCAAAGATGTTGGAGCTGCCGCTACTGGAGCTTGCCGCTGCTCCGAAGATGTTGGAGCTGGCATTGTCCGCACTCGGTGCTGCTCCAAAGATGTTGGAACTGCCGCTGCTAGAGTTTGGTGCGTCTCCAAATAGGTTCGAGCTGCTTCCACCTGAGCTTGGTGCAGCTCCAAAAATGCTAGAGCTGCCGCTGCTGTTGCCGGAGCTTGCTGCTCCAAAGATGTTGGAGGTGCCGCTACTGGGACCCTGTGCAGCTCCAAAGATGCTAGAGCTGCCAGTGTTCGAGCCTGGTGCATCTCCAAAAAGGTTGGAGCTGCCTCCACTTGAGCTGGGTGCTGCTCCGAAGATGCTGCTGCTTCCACTGCCTGAGCTTGAGGCTCCGAAAATACTACCACCGTCTGCGCCTGCTCCGAAGATACTGGTGGTGGCACTCCCAGAGCTTTGAGCAGCATCAAAAATGCTTGTTCCAGTACTTTGAGGCTTGTCAAAGATTGAAGCACTTGGGGCTGCTGTCCCGCCACCTGCATTGAAAATCTCTCAGAACCCCCCAGCCCAGTGTCCCACGTACATCGTGTGTGTGTGTGTGTGTGTGTGTGGGCCGACTCCCCTTGATCTGGTGACCGACGGTGACGATTTACGAGGGTGTTCACGACGGAATGCACTGTTTGGCGCCTTGAAGTACCTGAACACAATCCCCTATAAGCCTTAGGTCATGGCTTGGCTTGGTTGCATTTGGCACTGAAAGGCAGCTGGCGGATCTCATCGGAACAGGATGAATCGGAACAGGACGTTACCGAATATCCGCGACTTCAGCTGGATGGACGTGGATCTCATGCGGAACCCCTCAGTTCGGACACGTCACCGGTTTCCTCTACGAACGTCGGAGGGGCCCCACGTCGGAGTTCGTGTCAGTTCGGCCGGAGAGGAGGTACGAGACGGTCGGAAATGAACAGACTGAGAGGAATCTCGATGTAAAAACATTCCGGACATCGCTGAACAGACTAAAAAGGTAGAGAATGTCCAAAGAGGTGAGATGTGACCTCAACTAGCACCCTACTGGGGTACCTATGGGATAGTCTATAAGAACGAGTTCAAGGCCCCGAGCCTGTCGCTGCACCAAAGCAGAAGAGCCCCCCGCCACTGCCAGGCGCAGGCGCCGCGGGCGCGGCGGGTGCGGCGGGCGCCGCGGGCGATTCGGCACCGAAGAGGAACAGCCCGCCGCTGTCTGCCTGAAGCGAGCTCGTGGGCACCGCTGTCCGCTTCAAGGCACCTGGGTTGACCTTCCAGGGGCTGTCCGTTCTCTTCATTTGGGTCAGCCAAGGGCAACTGACGAAAGGTTGGTAGGACCAACTCACCCAACTGATGCAAATCTGATATCCTAAACACCACCTGAGTCGCACCAGATCCTAGCCACAAGGCATTCTGCCAGGTATATATCGAGTCGAAATCATTCACGTCATAGGCTTTGAGCCCCATTCACACCCACCTTCCCTCCTTCTCATGTGGCAAACATTCCCAGATTTCCCTGGCAGCTCTCCAACGATCCATCAGTGCAACTCTGGATCTACCACCATCTTCTCATCTTCTACCGCAGGTGTCCAATCATCTTCTCTTCACCATCGCTGGGAACAGTAGCAACAGTAGCAACAAACATCACCCGACATCCTGGATCCCAAATATCTCCACCTGGCCCACGCCTTCTGAGTGCTCTCCTTCTCCTTCGTATCAAAGATGCTTGCCCCGAAGATGGAGCCACCACTGCTGGCTGCCCCGCCAGAGCTTCCACCCACCGCCTCAAAGAGACTGGCGAGGGTGGCACTGGCACTGGCGGCACCTGCAGCACCTGCAGCAGATTGACCAACAAAAGTCACGCACACACCCACCTCAATCCGAGGGGAATGATGTGTGCTGGTCCTTGATCGGGTGTTTTCCTGGTGCTGGTGAAAAGACCGCGATCCCCAAATCGTCTAACATCACCTTTGGCTGACTGGTGCGACGAAAGCAAGGAATGAGAGTGATCCTCTTCTTTCCCTACTAAGCGCCCGTAAGCTTTTATTGTGTTGGCCCCACGTCGGATCACGAACCGGTGTCGAACAAAATCATCCTTGAAAAGGGACCCCAAAACATCTACAGACTACCTGGTGTCTTCCAGGGCTTCTTCTCCAAAATGCTCCGGACAAACAGACTTTGGGGAAGCTCGAGCGATTCACCCGCTGTTGGTTGCATTTAGGATATGGCCTGGGCGTGTGGGTCACAACACCCCACTTCACTCATGGCCTTTCGCAAAAGGTGTTCCCGACCATTTCCATCTTTTTCCGCCCATTTCACCAATAGACCCACACCGACCCACACCGACCCACACCGACCCACTGGTCTCAACCATTTCTGCTGTGTCCCACCCATTTCCACACCGCAAACCATTGCGCTCCGCAGAACCTGTCGGCTTGGAGCTCTCAGTGGCCTTCGCCTTTTGGACACACACTCTCACGGAGCCGCGGCATTTTGGCCAAGCGGCCCCGGAGGCTGAGGCCCAACAAAAAAAACTGGGAGTCGTCGTGCTGTACCGTTATATGAATTCTGTCATAGTAAAATTGCTCGACCATCATCTGTCAAGAAGGACTATCTGCAAATTTGAAAATGGAAAACGGACCAGTACATTTGGGCGGTCTGAGAATCCGTGTCACACACTCGGTCACACGTTGTTTCAAGAAACAGGTTGGTAAGAAAAATGTGCTAAAGTCCCCTTTTCCTGGGCTGCTCGTGTCACTCACCTGTCCTGCAGATATAGGCCTAGCATGGTGTGGCATTCAAACCACATCTTTCTTGGCTCTTGTGCAAATGGGCAACAGGGCTTGGAAACCATTTTTTCCACCCAGGCAGGAGAAAGAGTTTCTTTTGTCCTCCTTTTCAGACATGAGAAGCCAGTTTCGTTATGGAGCTTGGACCAATCAAGATTGGCCATGTTTGAGAAAATGGATGTCTCACCGGGGGATGTCGTCGGGACCCTCCGGAGCGAAGCGAAGAATCTTTTTGCCAAGCAAAGAGATACCGAACCCCATAGACCATTCTACCCACAAAGCCACAAAGCCAAGCAGAAACCCCTATGAAAACCCTGATGAATGCGCATGAAACCCACGACTGCCTTATGGTGGTATTCAGAACAGGCAGGCTTTGCCTCGCCCTCATCGAAGGCATTCTCTTTGAAGCAGGCACCATCCTGGCAGGTGCGCTTCAAAAACATCAACCTGGAGAAAGGAGTCTGAAACTACTCTAAGATATTCTAAGTGAAATGGTTCTTCCCCCCAGGCCTCAGACGATTTTGCTGAGGCGGAACCTGCCTCATGAGTTCACTCACTCTATCGTCGTGGCTGTCCCACACATCGCTATGCCCATGCAGAACACCCCGACAGCTTCCACGTCCGCGCCTCGTCCTCGTTCTCTGGCTCTGCCTCGTCACCCCGCGTGGCCCACATCACCTTGGGGTCCAAGTCGTAAGTTCGGCAGACCTGGCACGCGGGTGTCAACAGAGCGAAACAAGGCCGCGGGGAGAAAGAGTTCGGCTGGTTCTCCTTGCCCCAGCTCCAACGCAACTTCCCCCTTCAAATGTCCTGGTCCCAAATCGTCTGTTTGGAGCTCCTGGTTCCTCGCCCCTGAAAGATTGGACTTGGGATTCACCCACCAGTTCCTCCTACAGTATGGTGCCTCTAACAAAAGGACACAGCTCTTTCAATCTCTGTCCACCCAGGCATCGGTCGGAAAGTGACTCACAGTAACCCCAGGCGGTTTGGACTTCGCCTTCGCGTACAAGTGCGAGAGCGGAGTGCCCTTCTCCTGGTCAAAAGAGTCGATCCGATGGCCGAGGCCGCCGCTCCGGCGGACGAAGGGCGGGCGGAGCAGGGAGCGGAAAGCCCACTGCTTTCCAGAGGAGAGTTTCCACCGAAACTGCTTCAGCAAAAAAGTAGAGATGAACATCATGTGAGCCCATGTGTTTTTGATTTACAGCAGCAAAAACAAAAACCAAAGGACTCCCGGACCTCGGTGACTGGACCTACAGCACCTGCAGGACCTGCACCTCGGACCTCCATGGCTCCGGCGCATCCGGACCGGATTCGGAGGCGGAAGGCGGGCGGAACGGGTGAACCCGCGGTCACCCCGTCACCTTGTACTTGGCGATGAACTCCGGGACCTTCTCAAGCAGCTTCCTGCCGGACGGACGCCCGACATGGACAGCGGAGGGCGGAGGTCGTGACGGCGTGACGTCGTCGTTGAAAGCCCTGACTCTCCGGCTCACGGCGGAACTGGTGAGGCAGGAGACCGGAAAGCAGGCTCAAGTTGAGGTTGGATCTACTGTGGTAGCTATTTCACCCAACTCCGCCAGATCCGATGAAGCCGATCCCTGGTGCCTAGGATTGCGAGTGGGTGTTAACTGAAAGATTGCAGTACCCATCCACTCCCATCCACTCCCATTCTATCCATCCATCCACGTCGTCCATCCAATCCTCTCACCACCACAACAAGGTCCGGAAAGGAACCAAAGGTCCGAAGGGTCCGTCCTTCCGCCGGCTTCCACCCCCGGCAGCACGGCGGGGTCTCTGGGACTTCCGGGCGGGTTTTTGCGGCGGTAGACCGCTTCGATGTTGACCTTCCAGAGGGTCTCGGCATCCTTCACTTCAATGGCGTCTTGGGCCCCTGCGACGGAGGCGACCATGGCGTCATCCAGCGAGGTTTGGGGAGGGGGTGACCCAAGTTGCGCGATGCAAACGAGGAAAGTCTGGGATCAGTGCCCCTGGGCAGTCAGCCACTTCGCCGCTGGAATTCTTGAAGTTTGGATTGCGAATGAATCAGTAAAAGCTACGAACACCCCCCACGGATCTTTGAACATGCAGTCTACCTTCAGCAGATGAGCCTATGACTTCACACCCATCACCCCGAACCCAATCCATCTTTTCACCACCCAAGCATACCCCGCTCCACATCGCCTTCGTTGCTGCCATCGCTCTTCGCATCCTCTTCGGAGCTCTCCTCCTCCACCGCGGAGAGCGCCGAGCCCGGCGCGGCGAGGCCTCCAGCGCTGCCTGAGGAGGAAAATGGGTCGCGACTCAGTGATCTCTGCAGAGACTGGACCACCAGATGGTGTCCTGGTTCTTCCGAAATCAGACATGCTCAAAACCGGCACTCTTCTTTCTGTCTCAGGACCCACAACGGTTCCATCGTCCGACCGGAACCGTCGTTCGAACGGCACACCGTGCGGTGTGCCGCGGACGGGAAAACGGCCGCGGCCTGAAAGGCGGCTCGCTGAAGACGGCTTCGGCTTGGCGAACAAAGATCCTGGGAGATCGGATTCCAGTGTCTCTTCCAGTGTCTTCTGGTGGATAATGTGAATGATATGAATTTAGAATCTCCAAGATGCTATGCTACGAAGGCATTTTTTAGAAATTCCGCCGCTGGACAAACGTTTCTCTGGCAAATTAGATTGCCCTCACTGTTTGTTGTGCAACTACAAATGCAGACGCGTAGCGACCCCCCTGGTCAGCCGGGATTGGTGCCGACAGCAACCTGGCCACGCTTTTGCTGTACAAAGGTTCTCACAAACTTTAAAAGGTTTGCCAGGTGATTGGAGCGTGGCATTCCAGAACCAACAGTGTGAAGTGGGGCAAACACGGTGTGCAATCCAGAACACATGGCTACACCACAGTGATCCTTGTTTCATGGTCAGTGAAACTCATCCTGAGGTACTTCATTTAAAGCTTGTGTGACTGTGATCAGTTTGTGTCTCTATAAAGCGACAAAGGATGCGCCACCGATGTTGCTTGAGGAGCCAAGAAAACATCCGTCGAACACCGGCAGAAAATGCTTCGAAACATCCAATCAGGACCATCTTCGATATCTTCAAGCTTCTGCCCATCTTCCATATTTGCCGAAGGCACATAGGAAAATAGCTGAAACTAGTGCTTATATAATATGATGAAATATGAATGAATGTGTCTGACATTCCGTCACCTTTCGGTGTTTTTCTCAAGCAAAACACCCTGTCCACAAAACACATCCGCTCACCATCACACATCTCACATCCTCTCACCGTCCCAATGGTGCCGTCGGTCGACGGCGGGCAGTGCCAGGATCCGGTCCGACGCCGCTTGGCGTTGCTCTCCGTCCAGTCCCTGGACCGTCCGACTCGGTCAACGACTTCCGTTTGGGTACGCCGGTTGGGTACGACGTTGAGAATGGGTGAGACCGTCTGCAGGTTCAAAGAATGGAGAATTATGAGAATGTTCAGGCTAGGCGGCTGCCGGGCTGGGCTGAGGGGGTTGAGGCCTGCCTATTCTGAGGTTGCAAGATGTTCCCAGTATACCATGAAGAACAGCGTTGCTCTTTTCCAGCGATGGACGCTGTCCACATGCGCCTGTGAATCTTCTAGCACCGTAGCTTGCTACAACACAGTTCACCACCCGAAGGTGGAGAAAAGGACATCGTCATCTGCCAAGATCTGAAGACCTTTTTTGGTGTGTCAAAAATAGATGAGGACCCCTCAAGAAAGACAGATACTTAATGTGCTTTCTTTTGCATGATCAAAGGATGGTTTTCCTACTATGAGGCACACGAAAAACCCAGGACCTTTGAGCAGGTTCTGGTTCACCCACCGAGAGCAGGGGCTCCTCGCTCGAATGGAATGAGTTTCACCCTGCCGCCGCGCCTGAGCCTCTTGGAAGGAAGGACGAAGTCCTGCAACGTCGCCGGCCAACTCCCTCGCTCGCTCGTTCGGGCGTCGCGTCCGGGGTGTCCGCGGCTTCGTTCGTCCCGCCGGTCCGACGACAAAGGACCGTCCGGACGCGACCGGCGAGGACTGTCAGGACGACGCCGTCGGTCGGGACAGCGAACGGTCGAGGGAGCGGACAGCTTGTTTTCCGTGAAGCCAATCTTGAGTGCGGAATGGTGTCCCGAGGAAGCTTATGTATACATGTATTTGATCAAACTGAGAAATGATCCAATTTTGGATGGACGGTTACCTTTCTAGTAGGGTCACAACCACTGGTCCTCCTTCAGGGCACACCCTTTTGACCTCCTTTGTTCCTTCGCAGCGTCCAAGGAGCGGGGCTGCCGTCGATCGGGAGGTCGGTGGCCCCGAAAAGCTCCCCGACGGGTAGCAACTCTCATAGAACGATTCCATGGTTTGGGTGGGAGGTTTTTGGGGAGCATGGACCAGGCATGGAGCTATCCGCCCAGGTGTTTTCGTTGACACAGTTCCATGCAAGACCGTCAAACAAGACTCTGGTGAACGTGCTATCCCCCTTCCACCCGTTCACTCCAATTCCCCCTCCTCTGCAGAACCTGAGATCCGTCGCCACCAAGCGTTGGAAGCCGGAGAGTTGGACGTACTGTCCAGCAAGGAGACTAAGACAGTCCAATTTCAGATTGATCTATTGGGGATCAGCATAGAGTGAAGTTTCTCGGGACCTCCGTTCTCGTGCACCAAACAAACAAGAAAAAGAACCTGACTGCGTTGGGCATTGTCCAACGCGGCCGGTTCTTTTTAAGGGATCCAATGGGGCGCGTCCAAGCTTTGAAGCCGAAGCCGGTGGTGATCGCAGGGTTCTCAACTCAGAGCTTTCGAGTGAAGGGCGATTGACCGAAGAATGAAGGCGATTCAGGGAAACCAGAACTTAGGAGCTTCTCGCTGGAAAAAGGGAACATCTTGCAAGGACCATACATGCTCGGGGTTCACCGAAATGGGTGGTGTAATCTATATAGTCCCTTCCTAAAGCGTGCTGCATGAAGAACTCCCCAAGACATCCTATTCAAGACAAATCAATCACACACAAATCACGTAGTATCCCACCACCCCCCACAAACGCAAGCACTCCCGCAAAAACATCTACCTTTCCCCTGCCATTCCCCTTCCCCTTCCCCAACCCTTACCATTGTGTGCCCCAGGGTTGTCAAGTTACTGACTCCCTCTCCTAACTCCCTCCACTCGCTCAAGTTGCTCGCCCTGTCCGCGTCCGAGGAGCCAAAAACATCCGCCATGCCCAGTGATCGCAAGGGCTTCGCCAACCTACAGGGAGACCAGGAAAACAATGATCTCACAGTTTTTTTGCCTGTTAATATATTGTTGGCAATGTGTGTGTGTGCAATTCTGCTTGTGTCCAGTTGTTTCTGTGATTGTGTATATATAGTTGGCTAGCGAGGCTAGTGTTGTGTGTGTTTTGTGCCTGTATCTCGAGAATTTGATATTTTTGGAGGGTGGAAGGTGTGTGTCGAATTTATTTGAGACGATCAAAGCCTTCAGAGAAGAACCATTCGCACCAGGTCCAAAGCACCGAAAAGGTCCAAAGCACCGAAACGCGAAACTTAGGCATATTCCCCTCCATCGGTGGAGACCCCAATTCGGACGGGTCTACGGGTCCTGGACCTCTTCAAGGTCACAGTCTGAGGGTGTTCTTGATCTTCGGTTCACAGGTGTGTGAATATCAACACCAGAATCGATCCACTCTCTCACCAACCACTGGATGTCACGACCCCTTGCAAAAAACAAAAAACACTGGCGTAGACGCCGGAGAGCAACTAAGTAACTCTACAAAACAGAAGCACCTGTGCTGAAAGCAACTTTTGGCACCCAACTTAACTCTACAAAGGAGAAGTAATTCGCCAAAATGAGTCCAAAGAAGTGGGAAGACAAAGCAAGGAGATAAGGCTGCAGCGGCAGCGGTGCACCAGAAACGCCGATCAGCCACCCGAGTCAGTGAGAAGGAAGACCCCCCCTATAGCTATCTGGTGAAAAAACGATTCTCCTCCAAACATATCTAAGATGATTCCTTTCAGCGTTGATTGCAGGACTACCCCTTGCACTTGGACAAAACACCCCCTCCCCTTGCACTCCAGCTCACCAGGACTCCCCCGGCAACGGGCTCCATCTTTGCCTCGGAGCGTTTCCGGCACCCCCCTTGGCGCCGGTTTCCTCCGCATGTCCCTTTCACGGAGCGACCGTTGGACCGGGAACGCAGGCAACCGGGGCGAAATTGTTCCCCAAAAAAACGCCATGGACTCGAACTCAGTTGGACAACACCAGGACCTCGCTGCGGAGCTCCTGAGCTCCTGACAGGGACGGCCATTGCGGCACCGACGCCTGAAAGCAAAGGACTGGATGGAAGAGGTGCAGTTGGACTGCACTGCCTTGGCAGTGCTAAGCTCGAAGAGGGAAGGACGAGGGGAGGACGAACAAAGAAGTGGCGAACAGAAACTGTTGGAGTTCCCAAACTGAAAAGTGTCACAAATCCAATAACGGTGGAATGTCACTGGCTGCCATGAGGAATCGACTGGCAGAGATGATCCCCGGCACGTGGACTGAAAGGAGGAGGCTCTTACATTGAAAATGGTTTCTGAACGGCGATTTCCTGCATTTGTTTGTCCAATGTAGTAAAAATAAATATAGATAGAGAGAGAGAGAGATGTGGCGAAGTCAACTCTGACCCCCAGCATCACTCTGACCCCCAGCCCATGACCCAAAACCGCCTGCACAGCCGCCATTGCCCACGATTTTGGTGATCCCTAGGCCTGCACAGCCGCCCTGCAGTTGCTGATCCTGTTCTCATCGACCCTGTGCAGCACTTGAAATAGGATTCGAGTGCACTGGAAACCAAAGATGTGAGGTGTTTCCTTGGGTCACCTGACGCTCATGTGACGCTCCTTCTCTCCTACCGGGACTGTTTCGGAAACCTTCTCAGGTGAAGAAGGAGACCTGAAAACGGCTGATTACTTCTGGTCTCGCCTTCGAGAGTCTTCGTGATGGATCATCCGAAATGAATTCTTCGTGGTGTTTGGTTGGAGGAGGGTTGACTTGAAGCCTTCGTTGTGAGCTGAGTTGCACATAAGCCTTCGCGCGAGCTTTTGTTTGAAGAAAAATCAGAGTAAGCAAGTCAGAACTTGAGCAAACATCGCAGGATCGCAGGCACAGAAGTTCTCCGTCGCAAAGCACAAATATGTTTTGAGACTCTAGTTGAAAGGTCACTGGATCTTCCGAAGATCAGCGGCAAGCCTGATGAGCTCAAAAAAGTTTCATCCGAAAGGGATGGACAAATATGCATCATCAAAACCTAGCAGGCAGCCGTCTTTCACGCCAGCAGTCTTTCAGGCAGCTGCTTCAGTCTCTGCCTCAACAAGGAAAACAAAGAGGAGTGGAAGCATGCAAATACCGAGTTCCTTCAACTCTATCATGGGTTGGTAGTCTAGGCTTCCTTCGACCAGGGTCCTTGCGAATGAACTTGAAGGGACTTGTTCTACCAAGTTGGTGGAGGATGAAATGTTGAGCTCTTACCTATTCCGAATTCAGCCATCAAAACAACTGTTCCGACCACGGTTCACTCGCTGCAACTATTGGCTGTCTCCTTGCCTTTTCTGACGCATGGACTTGTCGTGCAACCATTGTTGCCAGCGGCTGTCCAAAGATGTTGAAAACACGCTGCAGTAGCTTAGCCACGACTTTCTGACTGCCTGGGGGCAGCAAAGGGAACTCCAACTTTGCGGCTTATGGACCCCAAAAGCAAGGAATCTGGTATGGAGTGACATGGCGCCTTCAGGCTGTTTCATCAGCACCATTCTCCAGCAATAGCCTGGCCACGGTCTTATGACCACCTTGAGAAGCCCGTCTCAGCGCAGTGTCACCGTTGTTGGTGGTGGCCCTTACATCGGCACCATGCTTCAGAAGCAGCTTTGCCACTAACTCGTGACCAGCCAAAGCCGCATGCATCAGCGAAGTGTTACCAGCATGGTCCGCTGCCCGCGGATTGGCGCCGTGCGACAGCAGTAGCTTCACGATGGACTCATGGCCACGGTAAGCAGCACCCATCAACGAAGTAGTACCCTCATTGTTGGCCGCACCTGCATCGGCACCATGCTCTAACAGCCTCCGCACCAAAGACTCATGGCCACCTAAAGCGGCGGCAAACATCAACGCAGAACTGCCAGTTTTGTTCGTGGAACCTGCATCTGCACCACGCTCCAACAGTAGCTTTGCAACAGACTCGTGGCCACTGCGGGCAGCTGACATCAGCACGGTGTCGCCATTGCTGTCTGCAGCCTCCACATCGGCTCCATGCTCCAGCAGTCGTTTTGCCATGGGCAATTCAGCCGCCTCCATAAGCAAAGCATTCAACCAGGTGGCTCGTTCTGCGGGAGTAAAACTTGCACAAATCTCACTAAGTTGCTCTTCTGTAAACAGGGCACCTTTGCAGCAGCACTCTGCTGCTACCACATACTCCTTCCTTGTAAGGAAGATTTGAAGCATGCTAGTGGACAGCAGCGAGCGCACGTAGTGATCACAAGTCGAGAAGCAGCGTGACAACCCAACAAGCCCACCTGTATTAAAAAGCGTGTCGAAGAATACTCTAGCACCTAATGACTGCAAAAACATCTTGCAGCGACAGTCGGCTATCTCAGCCCAAATCAAATACTTGTCCCCTTCCACCGAACTCTGAGCTTTGGTCATTGACACCTCCCACAATGCCTTGCAAGTTTCTTGCAGCAGCTCAGTCACTTCAGCTTCTGATACCCCTGACTCTGCTGCAAATGTCACGGGCTTCGACAAAGATCCCAAGGCAGAAATCAACTCGAAGGGCCTCTGCAAATCCTTCAGACGCGATATCTCAAAGAGGCACCAAACCCTTTTGAAGGGATTGACATCCTCATCCAAAACCATCACCCCGCCTCCCTTGGCTTGTGCTAGGGCCGCATTGAATGGGCTTTGCCTAGGGTTCTCTCCCACCTCTTCAGCAACATCGTGCTGATTCAGGGCAAACAAACAAATCCAGAAGACCAGAGATTCCGCCTGCGCGCTTTGCATCTTCTGGAAGTTGTCTTGAGCCCAGATATCAAGAGCCTTGAGAGTGCTGGAGAACAAATGCCCCCAGAAGTGGGAGACAAAGCAATGGACGTAGAGTCCATTGGGGTTCACCAACTCCGAGAAGGAAGAAGCTCCAGTTGCACAAGGAATGGTTTGGTGAACATCCTGCTCGCGGGCTGCGCATGTTCCTGGTTTGGACATGGGAGTCACCACAAAAGTGTCCAAGGCATAGAGGTTCGGAGCTTGTTGGAACTTGGAGCCTTCTTGGATGGCCCATGCGTGGTTGGTGTTGAAGGATTCGCACTGCGCAGCTAGCCACCCAGAGTTGATGAACAGAGTCTCCAGGTGATGCAACTGACCCAAAGCCATGCCCCGCAAGGAGTGCGGAACCGTTCCTCACTCGGCCGAGGATCAAAATACGCCACGCAAAGCAATGCTCCGAAAAACTCAGCAACATAGAATGAAGGCAAGGCAAACACCTCTCCAGTGAACCTTTGGAGAACAACAAGTTAAGAAGCATGAAAAAGCTTAGCTTTGTTGATCAAAGGTTCGCTGTACAGGCTGAAACTCCTTCACAAACCCCGGAGATCCCTGAAACTCCTTCACTAGCTCACCGAAGCGCTCCTTGCTGATCCGCTGCTTCCCTGCCATGAGCCCTCGAAGCTTTGTTATATCTTCGGACTTCTTCGATTCGAACCTCATGCCAAAGACCTGAGCTGCCTGCTTGAGCTCATGAAGATCCAGATCACCAGAGCCATCCAAATCGCATCGCATCGCCACAAAGTGTGGATCATCAAGCTTTCGCTTCAACTCCGCACTCACCTCAAGCAGCTCCCTCTCCCACGGCTCCTCGCACTTTGCACTACCACTCGAACGTCCTTGGAAGGGAACTCCTGCATCCGCTTCAAGCTCGAATCTCTTCTCATGAGCCTTGCTGTCCTTGGCGCTTCTGTTTGGCCGATCTTGGAGCAAAGTTGGCCCACTCGCAGACTCACGCCGCGACTGCGCCAGCTGCACATGCTGTGACACCTGGTGGTTGCTGCAGATGCAGCCCATAGGACACCCGCAGTATTACGGCTCCCAAAAGTTTCCGCTCTTGTGGCGGCTTGGAAAAACTGAGCCAAAGTGAAGGGAGCTGATGTCAAAGTGCCCAAAGTGTTCCACTCAAAGCCGGTGCTCCCAATTCAACTGCTCCAAGCGTTTCTGTCACGTCCACACTGCGCTGGGTCCCAAGCCGCTAGTGTCAGTGTCACAAACCTCCGTCACCGGTGAGCGCAGGTTCCGAAGCGACGGTTTGATTTGGTACGGCGATCAGCCTAGATTTGGGATCACGCAAACTGAGCAAAATTGTGGAATTGGTTCTTAGAGCTAGTCCTGATGAGTTCACATTGCATCTTCTGATGCGCAAGAATGGTTGGGCTGCATCGAACCACCGTAGAACGTCTACACCAGCATCTCACTTTGTAATGCAAACGTCTGCGTACTCAGACGTCAACATGATTGAATTTGTCAAACAATAAGAAACCAAAGATTCATGCTGCACAAGGTCGACTTGGTGCGATACTTTCTGCAAGAACACTTAGTCTTGGTTGACACCATCTCGCCGACTACAAGGGTGCACCTTCTTGACTCGGAAGAGCATGATCTGCAACGTCCTGCAACGAAGCATTCGGAACAAATCACCCCAGGCCCACATCAGGAAACACTCCTTGGAGGGAACTCTAGGCTAATTTCACAACATGATGTTGTCTCTCTTTGCTAGCATCTCTAGATTCTACATGACTTCGACTCCTGCGCTTGCGCCTGTGCTGCACGAAGCTGGCTGAAGACGAAGAAGACGATGAGCAGGTCCACCCTGAAATGGGTGTGTATTCAAACAGGGAGACTTCCCAGTTCGACCCCTTCGAAGAAGGAAAAAGGGCGGCTCATTCCGTGCAAAAGTGAGCGCAGTCCGTGGCAGCTCATTTGGTAAAATTGCCGGCCTCTACATTATGATACATTTATGTTCGCCGGACCCAGGCTAACTCTGTGAATCTTGAAAAAAGAAAAAGCCCCAAAAAAGCAACTACAAAAAGCAAAAGCCAAAAAAACACATCCAAAAAGAAAAAAAACTACAAAAAGCAAAATCCAAAAAGCAAAAAAAAATGAAAAAGCAAAAAGAAAGAAAATCCAAAAAACAATGCAAATGAAAAAGCACAAGCAAAAAAATAGCAAATGAATAAGCGACTGCATTTGTCTGCTTCTTTTCGCTGTTTGTTTGCTTATTTTTTTCGCTTTTTTACCGTTGTTTTTCGCTTCTTTTGTCGCTTTTTTGTTTGCCCGAATTGTTTTCCGCATTGGTTTCGTGTTTTTTTTTGTGTTTTTTGTTTGGTTTTTTTTTTTCGCTTTTATCGTTTGTTGCTGAGTGTTCGCCTTTTTTCGCTTTTTGTTCGCATTGTGTTGCTTTTTGCCTTTTCATTTGCTTTATTTTTGTTTTTTGTATTTGCTTTTTTTGCTTTGCTTTTTTATGCTTTTTGGATTTGTGTTTTTTGCTTTTGCTTTTTGTAGTTGCATTTTTTCACCTTTTGCATTTTTTTATTTGGCAAAAGAGATAGCCTAAGTGGTTTTCATAACGATACATTATGTGAAATTATGTGTGTTCTTTTAGTTGTACGGAAGCACTGCAAAAGCAACAGACCTATAATAACCATATACTGCGACATGCTTATGTACTTAATGATTCGGCTGTCTAAAGATAGTTCTCAAATGTTCTCAACAGCAGCGTGCTGCACACTTGGAACCTACCAGCGGCCGGGCCTCAGCCGGAACGAATTTCAACCCTGAAACCTCGGAACTTGAAAGGGCGCTGTCCAAGCGTGCGGAACCCTGGATGCATGCTGTCGGATCTGGAATTCTGGGTGAAGTCGGGCGCTGTGCACCTTTGGTTGCACGATTGCAAAAAAGAGAGGCGCAGTCTTTATGAGTGGGTACCTTGATGTGCGTCAGCCAACCAATCCCGAAAACAGAGGCTGCGGATTCCCCGCCTCGGGGACACCGACATCGCCCGCCCTGCGCTCCACCGGCTCCGCCATGGCCGCAAAGCGACCGATACAGCCGAGGTGGGCGGGTGGCGACCGGTGAAGGTGCCCGGGATTGAGGTAAAGGAGCGCCTCCCAAGAGGAAGCACTGGGATCCGCTGCATTCGGCCGATGAGGATCGATGAGCGGCCAATTCTCGAAGACGCGAAGACACAGCTGCGGAGAACAGCATTCAGCATGGGATGAAATTCGTACACCTGCCTCAAAAACAAGATCTTCAACACATTGGCTCCAGGTTGCCCAAGCAGTGGGAAACTAATGGTTCCTCTGCTTATTTGAGACACCCCTCCAAAATTCTTGCAACGCTGTCAACACCATGTGCGCTGGCCACCAGCGTGTCCACAGGCAAAGGCGCCTTTTTCGCGATGCGACGGCCAGGCCCCTCCATCTTCGATGATGAGCCCATGTTCCACCAACACAAAGCCGCATGACTGCGGATGTTTGGTCGAAAGTATGTTGAAATCTTGAGAACAAAAGGACCACCCAGCCATGCTGATGGCCAGTGTTCCCCTCGTGCTGTGCGTGGAAACACTGGCAGCCGCCAGGTAGACCCAAAACAACACACCCCGCTGAGTCTGGCATCGTCCACCTCTCGTCAGCGCTCATCGTCCACCGCGCGGTCGACCGCGGTCCGGCGCCGAGGCCGGGCGCTTCGCCTGGCGCCAAAGGAAACCCACCTCAAGCTGAAAAGACCTCTAGCTGCTGTCCCAGTCGAGAGTGGACAGCTGTGGCAGGTCTGATGTGGAGCAGTTCAGGGGTCGAGTTTCTTGGTAGCTTCAAAGCTTCAGGAGTTCAATCTCCTTTCAGGGTGAACTTTGGAAGGACCTGAAAAACGCCAAGGGCCACGAACAAGAAAGGGAACTGTGCATAGCCTGGATAAAATGAAACTTAACTTAACTAGACTTGAGAAAGCAACTATTGACCCTCAGTCGATTGCAAACGGCAGGCTGTCCAACCAGCATGGGACATCCATCTTGGCAGTCCAACTCCAAGAAACATGGTGCGTTCCACCTTCCTGGCATCCGATCTTCTTCCAGCTGCTTGCTTGAGAGCCTGGCTGCATGTCTAGACGCCGAGGAACGTCCCATCCAACGATCCGCCAATCTGAAGAAATGTGTCAAGTAGACCTAAGAACTTGCACCTTGTCGTCCGGAGAAAGGGGACCTTTGAGATATGAAATAAAAAAACACATCTGAATAGATTCGGCTATCTGCAAAAATCAGGACTACAATGATCCAGCAGTCAAACATACCCAAACAAACACCGAACAAACACCGGACCTTCGACCAAACACCTCTGCCCTTCGACCTCGGCTCTAGCACTGGCCACGGCACCTCCTCCAGGCTTCCAGATCCGACGCACTTCCAGACCTTCTGCTGCCTGGGCCACCGCGCAGCAGAAGGAACCGATGGGACTGGAGGGGAGGCGCATCTCAAACAACTCGCTACACCAAGACAGGTCCACTGCATGTCAAGCAAGGCTACTAGCTGAGACCAACTACAGGAAACAGTTGGTAGGGAAGATCGCCAGCAACTCCAAAGTGGAAAATTGGAGGACCGATCCTCACCCGGTAGAGGGGAAAAAAGGCCCTTCCGTGCATCCCTTCCGATCGGGGGAGTTTCGCACCTGCCGGACTTCATCCGCAGAACTAAGAGAGGTTACATAAGTGACCTCAACTAGGGTCTTACTGGGGTACCTACTATGGGATATGGGATCGGATAGTCTATAGGATCCTTCAACCTCTGTTGCAAGCTTTCCCCGCATCGGCCTGAGCACCAGCCTCTCCTTCCTCCGCTCGTGCTGATGCATCAGCTGCTGCTGCTCGCCTGAGCTCGTCTGGAGCGTCCCGAGTGGAGAAGGACGCGTCCGCTTCGCTGGACCCCTGCAGCAGCCAAGACTCCCAAAAAAAGGTGTCCTTTTCGTTCCACCGATGTAATCCTTGCTGCCTGGGGAGACATCTATCCGAACGACTTGGAGATGTCTCCCGGCTCAGCGTGTCCAACAAGGTGCACCGCCGACGTGGGTGGTCGGGGGCGTCCAGGAACAACTTCCGCCCAAACAACGCCTTTCCGCCCAAACAACGCCAGCCCAAACAATATGCCTATAACCTATATAACTTCTAGGGTCAAGACCAAATCATTGTAAGCCTATCATCAGGACCTTGGTCAGCAGCAAATTTGCCTGCGTTGCATGTTGGTCTTAAGAGACGGAGTCTGACTGTTGTCCTTCCCTAGACTCCTAGACTTACCAAACGGGGCAGAACCCAAATCGTCCTGAAGCAGCTCAATCGTCAAAGTAACTCACCAGTTCAATTCTGCTAGTCCGCACAGTTTTCAGAGGCCAATTGTTTTTTGTTTACTAGATCTTCCCATCGTTTGAGTCAACATTCAAGCAACAAATGCACGAACCGTGGGTGGATTTTTCATATTTGTTCTCCTCATGGTCCAAAGCGTAGATGGTGTTGTGTTTGCACGGTAGTTAGTACGTCCATCTCACCAACCGTGGCCCGCTCGGCGCCCCGGCGCAGCGCGCGCTCGCCCAGGGCGCGTTGCTCCTCCTGGAGACGCCTGGAGCGTCAGGTGAGAGACGGAAGGTCAAAGCCATTTGAAACAAGGAGGGCCTAAGGACGGTGTTGGAATATCCCACCCACTGCACTTCACTTGGGGTATCCAACAGCACAGAAGGTCCCGAGTTTCACTTGGGCTTAAGTGCCAGTGAGGTCTCCCCCAAGTTTCACGGGAAGTCTACCCCTGAGCGTAAAGCAGATCCGTCATTTGGGCAGAGACGTCTTCGTCACACCACCCCTCCTTTTGGGTCAGCTGAGTGGGATCGGTGAGTGAACTGGTTGTTTTGCTGGCGGTTCGATGATGTAATTTGCTGATTTTTTCCAACGAAAAAAAAATGTAATTGCAATGTACATAATTCCACCTGGATGAATTGTTCGCAGTGCTCTTGCGATTGAAGTCACTGTTGAAAATGGCGACGGATGTGATCCAAAAATAAACTAGACTCTTCAACACCTATTTTCTCAGGGGACCAACATTCTATCCCACTCACTCATTTTTCAGCCGCCAAACAACTGTAGACCCTGCCCCTTAGCACCTATCTATCCCTGTTCAGCACCCATCTACCGGTCTGCTTCAAGCCTTTCCAAGCGAAGCCTCTCCCTCTCCAGCGCCTCCTACGGCGAACTCGGGGCACCCGTCCCAGCAGATGATGGTGCTGACCAAAAGGGATCTTTTGGAGTGGGGAAAACATTCAGCAGTGCAGCAGCTGAACCTTCAGCATGGGCTTAAAAAACGTTTTAAGTTTCAAAGTAGGATGCGGCTGCAAACCAAATCAAAGATGGAGCCGAGTTCGAGTCTAAGCTACCTGTGCTGCCTATGCCATGTGGGTACCCTAGGGGGCTTCAATTCGAATGCCAGCTGTGGTGCGAACCTGTTAGGCACCAATGCTGCATCTGCATGTTAGATTTGAATCCAGACCCCTCTTTCAACTCACCACCAGGGCGCCTCTTCGCATTCTTTGTGCCGGGTCTTCTTTGCCAAGCAGCGCGGCTCGGTTGTTGCTTCCTCATGGTTCCAGGCGACATAGGCCAGTATGACCTCCAAACCTCCTCCGAAACTGGAATCACACTTTTGATCCATGAACGGGTTTTCCCCAATGACCTGCACTGGCTGGAGCAGCAAACGCACTCCTGCTTGCAATGTGCATTCATCCCCATACGGGCCATCCACGTCCATGAGAAAACCACTGGCTGCACCTGGGCAGCAACACCAGCTTGGCTCAGAAAGAGAGCGTGTCTGGCTTCTGCACTCTGCTGGAGAGACACTACGTTCAATTGCTCTGACCGGCGCGTTCACCGGATCTGTTGTGAGTGAGAGAAAAGCTTTTTGGACCAGTTCATTCCAGACATCAAGGTAAGTTTCAAGATTGCAGAGCAGCATTTGACCAGGAAAGTCGTTTCAGTTCCTGAGGAGGACCTAAATGGAGAAGGAATATGGACTGAAGGTCACGCCTGGAAAGTATGCCGAGAGCCGAGAGCATGGTCGAGATGTATGAGGAGAAGATGGGTAGAACCAAGCTTCTGGGTCTAATGGTTCGGTTGAGGTGATGCCGGAACTAGCAAGGCCTATATCGCTTGCTGGTGGGCTGCGGCATCTACTTGCTGCAGCAAAGGCCCGATGTGTCCTACACCATCAAAGAGCTTGCATCGACAATGTCATGCCCAAAGGCAGGAAGTTTGAAGAAGCTCGCCAACTTGAAGGTGCTGGGACAATACAGTGACCGCGACTGGTCAGGTTCGAGGTGTCATAGTCGTTTCCATCAGCCGCTATTCATACACTGCATGGGGCGATGGTTTTTGCCAGCTCACGCGGACAAAGCCATCCAGTGGTCAGTTCCCAAGGCCCACGGCGCTCCACCAAGGTAGACCTGCAAAAGCCATCACCCTGGTTCTTGCTTTTGGTCCAGTTGTTCAAAGCCTCCTCAATTACTCCTTTGCCTACATCCTGGACTTTGACAAGTTGGTTGAGGAACTCTTCACGGCCCTACATCCAGATCTTCTAGCACGTCCCCCAATACGACTTCGGCTTCCACGGATGGATAACCAGATCCTGGCTTGACGATGGCCCTGGCAGGAGCTGGAGTACCAGAGCTGAGACAGGCTGTCATCCACACAGCTCAGGCTGCTTTACAAGCAGCTCAGGCTGCGGCCACAGCTCAGGACTACGTGATCAACACCATCAAGGAGTTTGAGAACAGTGAGAGCGAGAGTGACGGAGAGAAAGGAACCGAGATGGTCACGGTGATCGTCGACTCTGGTGCTGATGCTTCTCTCTTCCCAGGACATCTGATGAGTAAAGTCCGTATCTGCAAAATGCCCAAGGCGCGAAGATACAAACCTATGGCCACAGCGACGTGGACATTGTCATGAGCTCCAAGGACGGCGTCAAGATGCTTCCCAAAGAACGTGTCACCTTCTCAGACCTGGTGAGTCAACCCATTTGGTCCACTGGTCAATACGTGGCAGTCATTGCCTCAAACACGGGAGATCGAAGTTCCCCTGGCGTTTCAGAACCAAAGCCTTGTGGTTCAGGCTTTAATCAGGATGATCCATGAACCTGGTAGAATTCGCATGTTGAGGGTGAAGCTTGGACCAGAGCTCCAGGAGGTGGCAGTCGGCCACTTTGGCGGAGGGAGAGCACAGATTTTTTTGGGTTGGGCTTCATTCAGGGCAGCGCTTTCAAGGATTGCGAGCGACCTGCTTCACCAGTTCTATGAAGCCGCTCGGGCGCTGTCGAGACCTTGGCCTGAAGGACTGGGCCGCTACCGTGTGGACAGACTGTTGACCTCGAAAGAGGTGTGTGGTTCGAGGCTGCCGTGTTCTTGTTCCCTGTGTGCTTGCCACTGCTTCCAACCTGGAGCTGGTTGTCTTCAGCCCACGAAAAGCCATGTTGGTAAGAGCAGTCTTGGGAAGCAAGACGCCAAGCTATCAAGGTTGTTGTCCCATTGTGAGAGCAGTTGGTGAGAGTCTTGTGAGTGATCTTCTGAGAGGAGAGCCAGCCACTTTTCCAGCCGCTCGAAGAGACTCTGACTCACGCACACCCATCAACGCGACAAGCTTCCATAGCTTTGGCCTGCTTCCTTTGGAATGGGTCTCAACTTCCACCTCATCAGCCTGAGCCATTTTCTGGCGAAATTGAAATTCGATGGAAAGCCAATGACTTCGGGTGGTCTTCAATCTAAAGTTCAGCCGCCTAGGAGACCACAAGGTCTTAATCTGAATTTAAGGCAGCCAGTACTGTGAACCTTTGAGAAAAGGCCTTGATTTCAGGTCCCCACATGACACGACTTCAATTTGAATTTAAGCCGATGTATAGAGTAGCTGTCATTTGAAGGAAACTAAGGAAACTCATGTCCAAAGCTGGATTCCAAACGTATTATAGTATTACTTTAGTATATAGGCCCATAAACTGCATCCACTTGACTTGCTCGAACGCATGTTTTACTCTCCCTCCACGGCTCAATCGGCTCCTCCTCGTGGTTTCGCCGCGCCTCCTGTGAAGTTGACCGACCCACATGGCATGGTTTCGCCGCGTTCGGTCGCGTTCGCCCCTTGGGACATCCTGACACCGTGTTTGGGCGTCTCACTAAAGCCTTGGGGGGGCCCGGGGGCCCACTTCCTTTTGGAACATACACCCACATATGTCATGTCCTTCTTGGAACCTTTTGAGGTGGTCCAACACGCAAGGCTTTCACTCACCGGCCAAACCGCTCTCTTTCGTCTTACTGAGGTTCCACAGAACGAGGGACCACGTGTGACCGCGGTGACCGCGGTGAGAGACATCCGGTTCCAAAGGACCCAATGGGCCGACGGTCGGGCCGACGGTCACCGGTTAAGTGACCTCCGAGGACCCAGAATGGGGTACCCAACTGGGATAGTCTAATGAGTACTGGGTTGAGTCTGTTTTCGGTTCTTCAACCTCTGTTGGCAGGTTGACTGTCACGATCCGACAGGTCCCTATTGGTCCCTTTTCGTCCCAAGACACCTACGACCTACAAGATCTTTTCGGCGCTGCTCGACGAGGGGTATAGCACCGAAACGCGCGTCCGTCGTCCGGGACAACTGCCCCGAAAAGACCGCGACACGCCCTGGCCTTTTGTTTCACCCGGTGGCTTTGTCGCCATTCCTCCTGACCAAAACGGTGGCGAAAAGATTCTCTTCACCCAAAGATAAAGCGCCGTCTGTGTCCAATTGAACTCGCTTCAGCTTGCGCCTCAATCTTCTCTGCTTTTGCTTGAAGCTTGGCTGCCTCAGATGGCCAAATTCGAAGGAAACACGTACACAAAACAGTGCACGTCTGTGTGGGTTGGCCTCAGCCTGGCCTCTCAAGGATAGGTAAAATGATCGTTAGAAAATGAACATAGGATCTTAGGTAACATACACGCTGAGTTTGGCAAGTGATGCCAGGTGTCCGTCCCCACCCGCAGCAACCATAGTTTATCTCACCCTGTGCTACAGGTCCATGGGGTACCACATCCAAACCGCTGGTAAAATATGGTACAGTTCCGCACCCCTCAGCCACATATTTTTGGGACCATATCCATTTGCATGGGTTTCTAAACAGGAAAGAAACAAGCGGCCACTGAGACCACTGAGCCCTCTGCAGCGGCATATCTCTGCACCAGTGCCAACTTCCGCGCCTCCAGCGACGGCGATGGGGGTTGGCGTCCATCCATCACCATTCGGCGATGGGACGCCGTGAAGCATCAGCATATGGGACTGGAACTTGGGGCACCACTGGTGAGTCAACCCACACTGAGACATCTGACACAAAAAACGTGTTGGGTTCTGGCATGAGTCCACCCAACCCAAGGGTGTGTCTCTCAAGAGGGGTTTATTCTATGCAGTCTTTTATCCCTTGTAGATCACCCACTTTGTTCCACCAACCAAGCCAGAAAGTGTGATCCAATTTGAGAACAAAAGCGTGGGCTCGGCAGAGAAAGACGAACCATCTGCATGTGGACTCGTCCAACTGGCGGTTGTTTTTCACCCTCACTGCCAAATCCTGAATGAAGCCGAGTCCTTTTCCCTGAAATGCACTCAGGTGGGGAACATATATCGTCTATATGTAACTGTATCTATACAACATGTCCTCAAAAAGCAGGTGGAGACATTGCACCAACACCAGCTGTTGTCATGTTTGAGAACAACCAACTAGTACACCCGGCGAAAGGTTCTTGAAGCTGAGATGCTTCGCTCACTGTGATGTCTTCACACCACGCCACGCCTGGCTTTTCAACTCGATGGCTTTGACCGAGTGCACTCGGCACGGCGCTCGGCACGGTGTCTCCACCGTCTCGCTCTTCGGAGTCGGCGGCTTCTCGTCCGGTGGCCTCGTTCTCGTGTCCAGCCGTCGGTGCACATGGGGTCATCTCTCACGTCTCTCATGTCTGTGGTGTCGCCCCCTCCCCTCCGGAGCGGGCCCACGATGCGTGACGAGAGGGACGTTCAAAAAGGAAGAATTTGGGAGAGGCGAGACGTTCGTTGAAACTCAAGAGGTTCGTTACGGGGCGTGCTTGGATGTTTGGTACTTAGAATCCACCCCGGCGCTATCGCAGTCCATTTTCCCAGTACATCGCTGCCAGCGCATAGCTCCCATGTCTTGCGTCCTTTTGTCTTCGCCTTTCTTTCTGACCCTGCACAACTGCCCAGGCCCAGCTCCATCCCATATCTCAACCATCCTTGCAAAGCATCCTATTTGTCTCACCAGCTACATGGCTACATTCCTCCACATCAGCAGGACCGCCGTTTCTCCGTGTTCTTTTCATGTCAAAGCCCGAGGCCACCGGCTGGGTGATCAGCGGAAACGTGGACATGGACGCCGACAGCGTGGGATGCCTGGGGACGGTCGTGCCGCTCGTGCCGTGCCGGGTCATCTGCGACCGACCGCGTGAGTGCTGTCCTGGCATTCCCCTCCTGTCGAACAATGCTCCATGCAAGCACGGAATCTCGAAAGATGAGAAAGACATCGGCTCATCCCCTGATGCTCCATGTCCCAGCTTCTAAGCCCCATGCCGCAAAGAAAACCGGCCCGAAAAGTCGATTTCGTATAAAGACACGTGTGAACTGTGCAACTGCCGCCTCCCTGTTGGGGAGTGGAAAGGACACAACAAATCACTCGTGCGAATCGCACTTCACAGACCTGAGAAAGAAGCATCACCACCAGTTCGAGGTTCGGGATCTTCATCCACAAATTCGTTGAACATGCATAGTAACAAACAATTCGGAGAAAAGAAGCAGGTCGCCGTCCGAACGCCGCCCCGCACGTCCTCGTCCGCCCCAGGAACCCGGGTGCACCAAGGTACGAGGAGAGCTGAATGAAGCTTTCCTGACACCAAGGACGCTATGCTCGGTGGAGGCCATCGCAAGTAGCTTGGAGGCCATCGCTACTAGGAACAAGAAGCTACTGGGAGCAAGGGCATCGCTACTAGGAGCAAGGACGCTATTAGGTTATGAAGCTTTCCTGAGCGGCGAGGTCGGCTCCGCTCGGGTCAGTTCGGGTGCTGAAGACCCTTCATCCGATAGAAAAATGGATGCAGGAGTGATCTGACACATTCATCCGATGTGTTCGAAGGGTAAGTACGGTAAGTGCAAACCCCAAAAATGTCGTGCCTCAGATAAGCATTGGCAAGTTGAGAGAGCTTGACCAAGTCTCAGACTGAGTTGGTCCAAGGAGCCATACTGGGGCCATACTGGAGTTGCCGTCTATTGTTGAGAAGCACCCTAGTCCAATTTGCAATTTTCGATCAGCTTCAAAGAGAGCCAAGTCCAAGAGCTACTGTACAATGCTACGCCCATTCTGAGAGGCACCATGAACTTGAGAGAAACGAGCAAGTGCCGCGCCCCTCTGCAACATGGTCACCTCAAGATGGTTGGACTCGAGGTTGGACCAAAATCAAAAGCGAATTACAAGCACTTCCGGTGCACGATCGTGGGTCCTTGCTCATCATACTCGCTCTTCGAGATCCACATCTGCTGGAAAGTGGTCAAGGACGACAAAATGGATCCACCAATCCACACGCTGTACTTCCTCTCCGGAGGCGCAATGACCTTGATTCGTACCGTGGAAGGCGCCAGGGCACTAAGTTCTTTGGTCATGCGCTCACCAATGCCCGGCATCATCGTCGAACCACCAGAGAGGACGATGTTGCAGTAGAGATCGCGGCGGATGTCCACATCGCACCTCACGATCGATGGGCCTACTTCCTTTAAGACAGACTGCACGAGAGAAAATGAGCTTCTTTCATCCTTCTGCCAAAATAGAATATGTTAAAATATGTTTCTCGGTGTTGAACATCCGGATTTCAGGTTCTCCTTCGGCCTCATGATGGACTGAAAGGTGGTGTCATGGATGCCCATCGCCTCCTTTCCCATCAGGCTGGGTTGAAAGAGGAGCTCTGCGCAACGGAACCGCTCCGCGTGAAGGGAAATGACATGCCCATCAGGGAGTTCGTAGGTCTTGGCGCCTTCGTGACTTAATGCAGCTTGCTTCATCTCACTGTCAAAGTCCAAGGCAACATAACAAAGCTTCTCCTCCAGTGGCAAGATGGTTTCCCCGCATGCGGTTGCAACCCATCTGGCCATTGATTGGAGACGGTCACAAACTCTTCTGGCAACAAACCCAAGTAAAGCTCCCTAAGAGGCGTGGGTCGGCCGAACCTTGCCCTCCCTCAGAGGCAAGTGGAACACTTATTCAATTATAGGCCCCTGGGCCCCTGGAAGACAATTTTCCTCTACAGAGGGCTGCCCGACTTCCATGATTGTCTGCAGAAAGATATCACTAACACTCTGCTTAACAGGCTAAACGAAGTACTTCCCCCGCCCAGCATTCCATTTTTTGGGCGCTGATTCAATTAAAGGCCCAGTACAAACTGATCTCCAATCCAAGTTCCCGCGATTTCTCTCATTGTATCAAAGTTGAATCAATCCTCTTCAACTATTTCCCACATCCCTCGGCCCATTTCCCGAACCATCTCCCCATCACCCACCAGGCGACCACCAACGGCGGCTGGTCCTTGATATCACGCACGATCTCTCGTTCCGCCGTGGTCGTGAACGCATAGCCACTCTCCTCAAGGGAAAGGATCAGTTCCCATGCGCAGTTACCTCACTTTGGGGATCTATATATTATGATCTATTGCTGGAGTTCCCAGCACAATAGTGACGACCAGCATTTGACCAGCCCTACTTGAAAAAAAGGTTTCTACGTTGACATGCGCACATCAGATTCAAACCCTCCCCGCACCATCATGATCAACATCAAGTACTCCGTGAGATCGCGCCCAGCCAAATCGAGCCTTGCCACCGCATGCGGCAGCGAGTAGCCCTCGTAGATGGGGACGGTGTGGGAAACCCCATCGCCACTGTCCATGACGATGCCAGTCGTGCGCCCGGAGGAGTAGAGCGACAAGACGGCCTGACGAAGGCAGCAAAGCATCGGGCGAAGGCAGCAGAGCACCGGGCGAAGGCAGCAGCGTCGCGCGCTCGTAGGCTCGCTGGCTCGGGCAGGTGTGCAGGGGAGTCCATGATCTTGCGGGAACAACGAAAATTCTGTAAATCCAATGTCGCTTTGGAGCAGAGAACAAACGAATGGAGACCTTCCGAGGCACAGACCCCCAAACACGCAAGAAGAGCGTGTGGTCTCACGCATGTAGTACAGTAGCTAGGATTTCCGGTGAAACCGCCAAGTGGAAGTTGAGCAATTTAAGAAGTACAAACTGAAAAGGTATATAACTTATTGAAACCATCGGCCGCCAGCGTCAGTGGTCAACCATTGTGCTCGAGATTCTGCAGCTCTCAAGGTTTCAATATTTCAAGGCTTTGGTTCTAGTCACCAGTCACTCAATCAAAACAGAGTTGAAAATTGCCATTCCAATGTCCAAAAGGCAGCCTCGCTTCAGTCCAACCACTGAACACACCAACCACAACCAACTCTGAACACACCAACCAATTCTTCACCTGGATGGCCACGTACATGGCGGGCACGTTGAAGGTCTCGAACATGAGTTGCGTCATCCGCTCTCGGTTGGCCTTGGGGTTCAAAGGCGCCTCGGTGAGCAAGACCGGGTGCTCCTCGGGGTTCACGCGCAGTTCGTTGTACCAACAGTGGGACCAGATCTTCTCCATGTCCTTGGAGGGATCGGTGAGACCCCGAGGCCGCGGATATCGGGAGACCCCGGGTCCCGAGCCTGATCGTCCGGGGTCGGTCGACGGACCAAAGGAAAAGAAATCGACAGGTGGCATGGTGAATTTCATCAATCACCAACTGGTGGCATTTGGTTCTCCGACGCAAGATGTTCCTGTTGCAAGAATCCAAAGACAAACAGGAACTCCAACCCACAAACGACACTATAACTATAACTGCTGGCGACCAGGAACATGCACCGCCAACCTCATTCTTCGACAAAAGCCACAATGCACCCACCACTGCCACAACCCCAGCTTACAGGCAAAAAGACAAAAATGACTCAACCAGTTGCCCAGCATCATCCCAGTTGGTGACGATCCCATGCTCTATGGGATACTTCAGGGTCAAAACCCCTCTCCGACCCTGAGCCTCATCGCCAATGTAGGTGTCCTGTGAGGGTCACAGTGAGGGTCTTGTAACTCTTTTTGTTCAGGTCCCTTTGGATCCGAAAAAAATAATTGATTCAGTTTCTTGCACCCAGGCCCCTTGAGCGCGCGTCCGACGTCCTTCGTATCCATGCCGATGATCACACCCGGCATCCTGAGTCGATGGATGACAGAGATGCTGAAGCATGGCCAGGCCACTCCAGTCCAGGACCAAAAAAGCAAACTGCTGGAAAAAAACAAAAAGGCGACCGACCATCCATGGCTGAAATGTGCGATCCTCGTGCTGGTCGAGTCTCTTAGGCCGTCCCACCAGCGAGGGGAAGACCGAGCGCGGTGCATCGTCTCCGCCGAAGCCCGCCTTGCACATGCCGCTGCCATTGTCGATCACAAGGGCCACACACTCGTCCATGGCGGAACCACCGAGACGGATGAGAGGGCGGAGCAGGGCGGCGCACCAGAGGGGGAAAGACCTACTGCCAACATCAAAGGTGAGCCCAGACAGTCAACGGGCACTTTGGGCATCACGAAGGTATGCTACAAACGAATAACAAACCTGGAAATCGCCAAGCAAGCTGCAACATCTCTGTGCAGTATTGGCATGTCATGCAATTTCACCCACCCTACAGAACTTCGCTGTGTTGCGTTGCTCCTCTCAGACACAAGGATGTCCCCCCACATGCACCAAAATCATAAGAACAAGTGAACTTGCCATCTTCCACCACTAAAGCCCCCCAATCTGTCCCCTCTCCCAAGCCCTTTCTCAGCTTCTCTGCCCGAAACCCCGCCCACCCGAAGCCTGGAGGATTTCGGAGCGTCTTTGCACCTGAAGAACGTCGCTCTTTAGCGGCCTTTCCTTTTGACGGGGTCCCACCCTCCCAAAAAGAACCTAACCCCAGCCGAGCGGAAGTCATTCTTTCTGGGCGTTTTTATAGGGAAAAGGCACCCAGAAACCGACGGAGGACCGAACCGGCCAGCTTCACGGGAGTGAGTCTTGTTGCATTTGCCGCCCTTGCGGGATATTGAGAGCGTCCCTAGTTTCTGACCACTACACGTCCAGTGTAGTGGGAACCGTTTCTCCGCCGGCTACGTTGCCGCAGGGATGGTGAGTGAGACAAACAGCCTTTTCGAGGCAAAACCAGGTTTCATTCTGCGGACGTTCTATACTTCATAACTACACTTCAGCAGCAAATGCGAGTGTTTTGGGCCAAACGTATTGTGAATGATGGTGAAGGCCACGGGCAACAAGCAATGTAGAATTTCCAAGTTGAATTTCTTCCTGCTTCCTGCCTATGCACCTGTCCATACTCACAGACTTTTGGGTACTGCCCACCCGTCCACCCAGAAAGTCAGATGCCCCAACCTCGACAATCTCATCCTCTTCTCTTTCCTCCTCCTCTGCTTCTTCTGCAGCCTTCACGGGTCACGGTCACTGCTAGATTAGATTCAAGCCAGTGAAGTGTGAATCTCTTTGCTCCAAAGCTTGAACAACTCCGTCAAAAAATGAAACTCTCCGGCCCAGGTGCTCCCGACATCGTTCGCACCTGGGGAGCACCCCATGTTATGCTGTAGCCATCCGCGTCTGTCTGAGCGCATCTCAAGATTCTTTAGTAGTATTAGGTGTCCGGGATAGTTGGTATGTAGCCACTGTACACAGAACAAAGCGATGCCACACAACCATCCCAAAAGCATGGCCCACCTCGGACTGCTCTGCGGTGGAGCCCTGCACCAGAGAGACTAGAGAGGGCAAGATGGTCTCGCCCACCCAGTGAAGATGGAAAATCCAAAGAGGAAAGGGAAAAGTCGTGGGATGTCATGGCTGGGAAATTGAACATAGAAGTCGACCAGACCATTTCCGAGACTCTGTTCCGCTTCTGCCAGATCTGCCTGGAGATGCTGTTGAAATGGTCACCCTCTCTTCGAAAATGTAGGTCTGAACACATCGAAAGCCTTAAGATCCCAACGGAAGCCCGACCAGCTCACACACAAAATCCAAACAAGTTCCTGGGGAGTGCCAAAGCACAATGTCTTGAGGTGAACCAATGTCCTGAGACGTTTTTCCTGCATGCCACATCCTGATGATTTTTCCAACCCAAACCAACATCACACAAGATCATACCATAATTTATGTATGTGTACAATTAGGCCTCGGCTTTGCCGACTTGAGCGAGTCTCCTTTGCTTCTGTGCCTGGAAGATCGCAGGATCGCAGGATCGCTCGACTCTATCTCCAACAAATCATGGAAGTGGAAGCCTCCTACGAAGTCATCGTTCCAATCCGCGCGTGCCAGGTCTCTGTTAGCTTGACAGGTTGACAGGTACTGCCCAGCCTCTCCCAATCCGATGCCCACCCGCCTTGAAAGACTTGAAGGATCGGTCCAAGCGAAGCAGCAACTCCTGTCGTAGATCCCTTAGACTCGACCCCCAAAACGCCTCCGGTGGTCGTAGACAATGGACTGGACCCTCGGATATCAACTGCCCAGTTTTGAGTAGGAGTCTTGACTCACACCTCATCTCCCGAAAACTGGCTACACTCACCTCTCAAGAGAAGGGGATGTCCTGAAACCAAACATGTCATGGGTCACGGTCCAAAGGCTCGGCGCCCTTGGCCAGGTGGAGACAGTGGCCAGGTCTCCAACGGGCCACGGCTCACGTCAAGATGGTATGCCCAAACAAGCAGGAGTCGAAACTGGAGTCCAGAAACGAGCAGGAGTCCGACCCAAGGCTTCTCCCATTTTTGGTCGGTTTCCCTCCGGAAAACGCCCGGTTTCCAGCGGAAAACGCGCGGTCCATGAGTTGTGGCCACAGGATGCCCCACACACAATTCGAACGAACACTTGAGGCTATTCTGTCAGTCATGCTGGGCAAAAGATCAGACAAGGACGAGGGCATAAAGTTTCGTAGGATTCTTTAGCACGTTTATCACCTGTGAAATAGGTCCCTTTCCGATGCAGGTTTGCCCCGCCATCGCCGACCCCACTCGCTGGCAGCACCAAAAAGCTGAGGCAAAATGCATCAGCATGTTGAGTTTCTTTGCAGCTGGCCCCTTTCTGTCAAAAAAGGGTCCAGAAATATTGTGGCGGTCTTTGAACTCCTCTACATTCTATCAATACTTGCTTTGTTTCATATTCCAACACACATGGGGCTCCATCCATTGAACCCCCCCGTTTCGCCAATCCGTCAGACCGGCAAAGCTCCTGGAACTCTGCGCGGAACTCTTCCCCCAGCTTCCGACGCTCCGAGAGGAACTGCCGCACCAGGACCTGAGCGGAACGAGGACCGGAGGAGACTAACCGGACCCAAAGTCGCAAGGCCAAGGACGTTTACAGAAATGGAGAACTGTGACTGTACATGGAGAAGTTGGATGCCCCGACCACGGTGAGTCTCTTCCCTTGACATTCCTTGAGGGAGACGAATCGTGCAAGATGGAACTAGAGGAACCTCCCAACACTTATGTAAGGCTCTAAGCCTAACAGTACTTTGAATCAGTTCTGCACAGCTAGAACTCCAGCTTAAACTCCATGTTATATTACGAGAAAATGCTCCCAATCCATTCAGTCGAGGTCCAAAGGAACCAAAGCCCAACTCTTGTAGGGGGTTGAAATGCGAATCACTGAGATTATATAGCTGATCACTCTGGGCCATCCATGCCTCACGCTGCCACTTCCGCTCCATCTGCTGAAGCCTCAGCTTGTCTCACAGCAATCAACACCTCCAATCAGCATGCGGCGCAACAGTGCACACCTGGAAAACAACTTACAGCCACAAGCCAGCTTTCGGACATGGATGCCCATGTGTTCGTCTTAAATAAGGAATGTAGGAAGCACGACACCTCACGTGTCCACGTGTCCACACGTTCACCGTGGTCGCCGCTTCCGCGCGCAACGCCGTGGCGCAACCTCCACGCCCTTGGGCCACAACTCGTGGATTCGGGCCTCTGCAACTGCTGCCTAGCGAGGGAAGGGTGCTCCGACGTCCAAGCACCAGCACGGCGAAGCGCCCGAGAGACAGCAAGCACGCAGATACCGGAGAGAAAGGAGAAAGACCTGAAGAGATGGAAGAAGACCTGAAGACCTCAAGGACCAGAAGCCGCTTCACCTTCATGGTGTTTTTTGAGACATGGAAACCTGCAAGACTGGGGTTTTCTGCAACTGCAACATCATGAAGTTTACCCTCGAAGACTCTAAGCCCAGCAAGGTCTTGGACTACAGTGACTAAAGGATCTGACCCTGAAAGGATTTGAAGGACATTTGGCCATTGGGGGGGCATCTCTTTCAGCCAAGGACAGCAGGTCGTTGGACGTTCACCTCGAAGTAGTCCGTTGCATTGACACCTTGAATGCTTGCAGGCATCTCGCTGCGGGCGTCGGTTTGAAAGGCTGCCGGAACCCAAATCCTGCCAGAGTGCATTCTTGTTTCCGCATGCTTAGAATGTTTCCTGACTTGGAATGAGTATTGACATGGACCCTGCGAATGGTATGTAAACACAAATAACTCTTGAAAAGCAAAACGTACAAACTAGTGGTATCGAATGCTATGGCAAACACTGTTCAAAGGTTCCTGCTCCCAAACTAAGTTCCAGGCAATCACGCCGGTGTTTTTCCAGAGATTGTCGGCAACGCCTTCACCGCAGAAGTGTTTCCCCCAACATTGACACTGAAAGGACAACCCACAGGCTAGCAAGTCTATGTTTATGACAGACGTGCATTTACAACCACGACGCATGATCCAACTCAACCACATGAATCTTGAAAATTCTGTTCTTCGTAAGGATCCCACAACCATGGGCAGCCATCGAAACCATGCAAATGAACGGACATTCAAAGAGTTTTGCGGGATTTGCGAGTGTTGTTACTGCTAATTTAATGTTTGTGCAAGCGCCATGATGATATTGACCCCTCAAGCAACTAAATGTCACTCCGTATACACTTCTTCGAATCAGGTTTTGGCAAGAAAAACTGGAAGCAAGTCTCAATGGAGTTTTTTTTGTTTTGCCGGGACAACACAACATAACATAAAACAAAAACTATTAGCCTTGCATCGTTCAACCAAATGCGTGTATGACATTGCTGCATCTGACAATGTTGCATCCATTCCAGGTTGATGCTGTTGTGCTGGGATCTTTTTGGGTCTGATGATGGCTGCAAGTGTTGGACTTCCTATTCGTCTCCAAAGCCCAGCAATTTGTTCACATATCTAAAACATTCTGGCACAATAAGTTTCCTGCAAGTCCCACTGTGTTCATCGACGTTCCAGTTGAACCTTGAAATCTTGGGAAGTTGCAACTTGGAGCATGTTGTGAACCTCAATGTGCAGATTGTGAACCTCGAAGTGCCGATTTTGGCTCTGGAGGAAGCTTCTTACTGCTCCATCTTGACTCGTGCAGTTTTGCTGCATTTTGGTCCACCTTGCTCATCTGGCTGGTTGTCAATGAAAGTGCTGCAAGTTGGTGGAGTCCAAGTGATCTGCGCAGCAACGCCAAGTCTGCCAATCTGTCCAATGTCGGACAAGGATATCCACGGCACACTGTGGATTCTCCAAAATGTTCCTCCAACGGAATCCACAACACTCAGACTCTCTCAGAGCAGAAGTCCAACGTCACCTGGCGTGCTGTAGTGACCACTTAAAGTCGTCCTTGGCCCATGAGCAATTTTGCAGGAACAACCGTGGTCATGATGTCCCTGCTGCATGAGATGAAATGGTCAAAAAGCCACCTGCAGGTTCGGCTACAGGTTCTTCACCTGGTTTGTGGTGCAAATCCCAGCTGCTCGAACTCAACTCCTCTTCTTCACGTTTTATGCACTTGAACAAGTTCTGGTCCAGTCTGTTTCTCTGGTGGTGGTTCAGACATTGACCTGTTGTTGGAGTTCTTTGCAGCATCACAATTCTCAGGTGATCGTCCACGTCCAAAGGTGGTAATTCTTTTTGCACGCGTGGGGCTGCCGTTATCGCAGGAATGCGAAGGTTAGCGGTTGTAGAGATTAAGATTTCCTGAGTAGCAAAGGCAAACAAGAACCAAACTGAACAACAAACCACAACCCAAAAACACAAAACACAACCCACCAGAAAACAAAATTGGAAAATCATGTAGAGCTCATGCGGGATTTTATCACCATGCGTTGCTATGAGTTCAATGTGAGACAAAGGTGAGACAAATACCCAGGCATGGATGAATTGCTGCGAAGATCAGCTTTCAGCGAACACTTGCACTCAGAAATCCTACAGGTATACCGGCCTGGTCTTTGCGTCACTACTACTACTACTACTACGACTACTGCTACGACTACTACGACGACGACTACTACTACTACTACGACTACGACTACGACTACTACTACTGTTACGACTACTACTACGACTACTACGACTACGACTACTACTACTACTACTACTACTACTACTACTACTACTACTACTACGGCTATACTACCACGATTACTACGACTACTACGACGACGACTACCACTACCACTACCACTACCACTACCACTACTACTACCACCACTACTACCACCACCACTACTACTACTACCACTACCACTACCACTACCACTACCACTACGACGACTACTACTACTACTACCACTACCACTACTACTACTACTACTACTACTACTACTACTACTACTACTACTACTTACTTACTTACTTACTTACTTACTACTTACTACTTACTACTTACTACTTACTACTTACTACTTACTACTTACTACTTACTACTTACTACTACTCACTACTACTTACTACTACTCACTATTACTTACTACTACTCACTACTACTTACTACTACTCACTACTACTTACAACTACTCACTACTACTACTTACTACTACTACTACCACGACTACTACTACTACTACTACTACTACTACTACCACTACTACTACTACTACTACTACTACTACTACTACTACTACTACGACTGCTAACTACTACTACTACTACTTCTACTACTACTACTACGACTACGACTACGACTACTACTACTACTACTACTACTAGCACTACTACTACCACTACTACTACCACTACTACTACTACTGCTACTACTACTACTACTTCTACTACTACTACTACTACTTCTACTACTACTACTACTGCTACTGCTACTGCTACTGCTGCTACTACTATGGAACCGTGGGCTGGTCTGGGATCAAATTTTTTTTGCACGGGTAAGGGCGCTATGTGTGCCGAGAGGCACAAGTCACCGTGATGAATTCACATGAGGGGTGCGAGGAAATGAGCCTGAGCAAAGGAAGCAAAGGAACCAAAAGGACCAAAAACACCCACAACCCAACAACAAAGCACCAAAACAAACCCAAACCACCCACAAAAACCAAGCAGATCAGGCTCATGTCCGCTCAAGACGTGAAAAAGCAAAAGGTGCAGATCCGAAGACCTAACACAGGAGTGAAACGGGGCGATGAATTCCTTTCAAGCTGCTCTCAGTACAGGACGTCCCGGACGAAACTGCATTCTGCTTGTTGGCTGGCAGGTATTCCACAGGAGATGCAATGCGTATCAGTATGCATGAGCGAGACTGAAAGCAAGAGTGAGGTTCAAATCAAGTTCTTTTTAGGTCCATTCGAAGCTGGGCACGACGCAACTTGTGTCAAAGAATGCGTACGCGCCATAGACCATGTGAGTAATTTCAAGGTGACCAATTCAGTGTTGAGAACTCCTCACGCATGCGGGACAAAATTTCAATCTGCTCGTGTCCTTGGCTTGGTCATTGTGCAGCCTGGGATACCTGTCGGGGATCAAGGCAGGAGTGACAACGGGCATTGCAGCCTCGCAGCCATGTGGAGCAAAGACCCTGGACAAGCGAGAAGTGGCAGGAGGTTCAGGATTGATGCCTGACCTCTCACAACAGTCCCTGCAAATATTCCACTTGACGTGCAATTGAGGCTTGCAAGGATTGCCAGGTAAGTCGCAAGACGGAAAACCAAAAAGAGGACACTACGAAGACTTGCATGAGGCAAGCGGTGGCAAGGAGAGGGTAAGAGCAGCAGCAAGCAATTCACCACCTCCCCCTGCGGGGGAGGTGAGGGGCACGAGAGACCAGGTGGCAGCTCCGATGATGAGTATGACACGGAACGGACCTGGTCTCACAGTAGCTGAACCAGCCTTTTCAACCTTGACCAACATGCAGGTCGCTCAGGCGCGAGAGCAGGCGTGGTGTGGTAGTTGTGCCTAAGAAGGTTCTGCTGCAGCCCTGGGTCACACGAGTGCTTCCGAGTGCAGCCTATCATGCAAGCCCCACGAACTAGGTGAAACAAAAAGGTGAAACGCCGCTGTTCCTAGTGCTAGTGTACTGTACACTGTAACATCCCTGACCACCTCTTGGAAGGCAGCCAGGGGAGCTGGCTAACTGCTCAGTGGCGCGGGCAAGGTCGGCAGTAGGGTCAAAGGGCAGAGACCCTCTGCTACTCTACCACTGGGCCAATGGCACTCGGGCTGGTCTGGGGTCAAAAAGGGCAGACCCATTCCACCCTGAACACGCATATGGAGAATGTAGACCTGCTCATTAGTGAAGAGTCACAGCAGGACATGGACTTGAAATCCGCTTTCGCGCCAGCAGTCCCACGCCGAGCCTTCTTTCGACTCTGCTTGGAGACCCCAGGCAGAGCCCTGGAGGAGTGGCAGACGGGCAACGAGCTCACCGCACGCTCCTTCTCAAACCCCCATTGGGCTGAGAGCCCCCAATACCTGGTATATGCCACATGAATTCCCTGGGGTCTTTCACGCGCTCCTTCACCACGGTCGAGGCTTTGGGCACACTGATCTCGAAGAAGCAGCCGTCGCTGTTGGCCACAGGCCTCTAGGTGGTAGCTGGTTCCGCCCGGATAAAGTCAAGGCGGTGTCCCCGTTCGCCCGCATGTTGCAGTCCACATACAGCGATCTCTCCAGCGTTGATCTGGACCTTCCGGAAGGACTCCTGGTCGGTCTTGGATATGCAGCCACAAGCCCGGATAGTCCACTGGACTTTCGGCAAGCGCAGAGCGCAGCAGAGAGATCGGGGGTGGCAAGCCCGCATTGCTGGAGCTTGATGTTGCCGACAAGTGCAAGGGTTGCCCAAGAGGTCTGCGAGCCTTTAATAGGAATTCAGCACCCTGTGCTTTGCAGCCGCCTGGGCGACACCTGGCAAATAGGCACCACCTCAATACGGGAAGACCAACTGATTGCCTCTGGGCTGCGATTCGTCCAGTGGCGCCACGCCTCGCCAAACGTGGATGCAAGAAAGGATCCCAAGAACAACCCTACGGTGCGGGTTTACCAGCACCTAGAGGATGAGCTGACAAGAGCAGGGGCCGGAAACGATGGCATCTTGGCCCTCACAACCACTCGAGAAGGAGCTCAAAATCTACGTAATTCCTTTGACATTGCTTGGAAAAAGGCCAATGCAGAAAGGGCAGTCAAAGTAGCAGGTGCCACAGCTAAGCACTGCATTGTCATACATGGGGAGTCTACCTTTCTCAGCGGAGAAGGGCGCAATCTAGATTACGACCAGGAATGTTTTACCCGGGCAAACGTGGCATTTTGCCGAGCCACCAACCTCACCATCCTTGCCTGCCCTTTGAACATGCAAGGAATGCCAGGGGCCCTGCAAGTACTTGCTGCCCTCTTACACGGGGTCCAAAGCATCGACACCTATGACGACTGGGAACCAGCGATTCGAGGCTCACTGGACCTCACGGCAATCCAGCTATAACCAGCCACTGCTATCTTCCAACAGGCGCTTTTGCCCCACCAACTATGGCCTGGCCCTCTGCCTGTCTGCCTAGCAGAGCATCATCAAGGTAAGGCGAGGCGCTTACGC